GCGGCCATTGGAGGGTGAACCAACGGCAAAGGAAGACCTTTCTCTCTCTGTCTCTCTCTCTCACTGTCCACTCTGCCTGTCAAAAAAAAAATAAAAAAAAAAAAATAAAAAAATAAAAAAAAAATAAAAATTACAGGACAGTGATACGGCTGAATACTATATGGCCAGTCAAAAGGCGCAGGGTAGATGAGACATGTAAAACATATGTTTTATTTTTATGTTTTTACTTGTTACACAGACGGGGGTGGTGCTCCCACCCTCTGGTTCACTCCCCAAGTGCCCACAATGGCAAGGATTTGGCCAGGCTGAAGCCAGGAGCCAGGAACTTAATCCAAGTCTCTCATGTGGGTGACAGGGACCCAACTACTTGAGCCATTATCTGCTGCCTCTGAGGGTCTATACTGGCAGGGAGCTTGGATCAAAAGCTGGAACTCGATTCTGAACCTAGGTATTCAGGCCGGCGCCGCGGCTCACTAGGCTAATCCTCCACCTGCGGCGCCAGCACACGGGGTTCTAGTCCTGGTCGGGGCACCGGATTCTGTCCTGGTTGCCCCTCTTCCAGGCCAGCTCTCTGCTGTGGCCAGGGAGTGCAGTGGAGGATGGCCCAAGTGCTTGGGCCCTGCACCCGCATGAGAGACCAGGAGAAGCACCTGGCTCCTGGCTTCAGATCAGCATGGTTCGCCGGACGCAGCACGCCAGTGGTGGCAGCCACTGGAGGATGAACCAATGGCAGAGGAAGACTTTTCTGTCTCTTTCTTTCAATGTCCACTCTGCCTGTCAAAAAAAAAAAAAAAAAAAAAAAAACCTGAACCTAGGTATTCCCATATTGGTATATGGAAGTCTTGACCAATCTCTTCATTGCTAGGCCAAATGCCTACCCCCAAAATATATTAGTCTTTTTAAAAAACTAAAAATGCCATGTGTGCCTGGTTCCATCTCCTGTCAAAAGCTCATCTCCAGGGACAAGCGTTGGGCCTAGCAGTTAAGACACTGGTTAAGATGCCTATGTCCCCAATCAGCGTACTTGGGTTCAAGTCCCACCTCTGCTCCTGATTCCAGCTTCCTGCCAGTGCAGACCGTGGGAGGCTGCAGGTGCTGGCTGATGCAACTGGGCCCCTGCCACCCACATGGGAGACCTAGGCTGAGTTTCCAGTTCCGGGCTTCAACCTGGCCCAGCCCAGGCTGTTGCAGGCATTTGGGAAGTGAACCAGCAGATGGGAGCTCTGTCTGTCTTGTCTGATTCTGTCTCTAATTTTAAAAAAGGTCATATTTGTATCTATTCATACGCTTATACACCATATACCCTAAGGTCACTACCATGTAACCTGCAAGTTAGTTCAAGTCTCTCAGCCTCACTTTCTTCGCTTCTAAACTGAGAATTTTTGCGCCTAACTCCCATTTCTGAGAGGATGCAATATATAAGTCCAGGTAGATGCAAACAGCACAGTTCCTGCCACAATAAACACTCATTAAATCTTAGCATTATTAATGATTTTTTAAAGATTTATTTATTTATTTATTTGAAAGGCAGAGTTAGAGAGAGGCAGAGGCAGAGAAAAAGAGATCTTCCATCTGCTGATTCACTTCCCAACTGGCCACAACAGCCAGGGCTGGGCCAGACCAAAACCAGGGGCCAGGAGCTTCATCTGGGCCTCCCATGTGGGTGCAGGGGCCCAAGCACTTGAACCATCTTCTGCTGCTCTCCCAGGTGCATTAGCAGAGATTTAGATCGGAAGTGGAGCAGCTGGGACACAAACTTTCATCTGTGTGGGATGTTAGCAGCGGCTTTACCCATTACACCACAACACCAGCCCTAATGATTTTTTTAAAGCTATTTATGGGGGCCAGCATTGTTTCACAGCTGATTAAGCTGCCACCTGCAACATCATCATCCCATGTGGGCACTGGTTTGAGTTCAGACAGCTCCACTTTCTATCCAGCTCCTTACTAATGCAGCGGAAGGTGGCCCAAGTGCTTGGGCCCCTGCACCTATGTGGGAGACCCAGAGGAAGACCTGGCCCAGCCTTGGCTATAGTGGCAATTTGAGGAGTAAACCAGTGGATGGAAGATTTCTATCTCTCTTTCTTTATATATAATAAATAAATATTTTTAAGAAAATAAAGTTACTTATTTTATTTGAAAGGCAGCATTACAGAGAGAGATGGAGAGACAGAAAGAGAGAGATTTTCCATCCCCTGGTTCATTTCCCAAATGGCCACGATGGCTGGGGCTGGGCCAGGCTAAAGCCAGGAGCCAGGAGCTTCATCTTGGTCTCCCGTGTGAGTGGCGGGGGTTCTAGTACTTGGGCCATCCTCTGCTGCTTTCCCAGGTACATTAGCAGGGCGCTAGATCAGAAGTGGAGCAGCCAGGACATGAATCCCAGCACCGACGTGGGATGACAGCACTGCAGGCAGTGGCTTTATCTACCGTACCACAATGCCAGCCCCAGTCATTATTATTAAATGATGTGTATTCATGTGCAAAAGGCTCAGAAAGGATACAGCCGAAAGGAATCAGTACAAGGTAAGGTATGAGGCAGACAGATTGATGGAGGACTTCCAGTTTCTACTTCAAATACTTCGGACGTAAAGAATGTTTACAAATGACCTTGGATTGCTTTTATCATCACCAAAAACAACAAATATATTCCTCTTTGATGCAATAAAAGTCACAAAGGCAGAGACCATGTGCCACCACCCTCACTTCTCAGCCACCTGCTCATGGTCTGCAATCGCTACTCTAGCCTCCCTCCCCACGTACTATCCCTGGGCATCAGTGGCCCTCTGAACCTGGCCAGGTGCCAGGTATGCCTGAGACCAATTTGCTCTGGACACAATGTTTGCATCAACAACATCTCTGGCAGGACGAGCAAATCTAGGTCCCCTATCACTCTCCTGTGTGAGCTGAGCCAGGTCTGGACCCTCCCAACTGCCCTTGAGGAGTTGGGCTGGAACCCAGGTAAAGGCCCTGACACTTACACAGGCACAGTCCTCCCTATTAGATTTAGCTCCATCCCCAGAGAGGCTACCATGCATGGGTTCCTTGCTGCCCCTGCCTTCACGGCTCTGCCCTGACAGGAGCACGCAGTCTCACCATCCTGGACATCTTCATCTTGGTTGTGGATAAATGCTGGGCAGGCTCAGGCCCCGAGCAGGTCTGGAACCCAGCCCCCCCTTGGCTGCAGTCAGCCAACCAGGTATGAATAAGAGAAAACGCTTTCTTCTCAAAAGCCCACCTCTTTGGAAACAGAGCTGGCGTTAGGGTCCCCTGCACCTGCTATGTGAGAAAAGAAGGTGAGATCACAGCAGTACACGCGTGTGTGGTCAGTCACGAGACCTCCTTCATCGGTGCTTGCTAGAAGCCGAGAATTAAGCCACGTGCTGGGAGACAGAGGAGACAGAGCCATCCCCTGACCCCCAGGAGCTCGCGGTCCCACGGGAGAGATGGACACACGGAGAGTGGAAAGCAGCACAGGCGTGTCAGTGGAAGGGCAACAGAGGCCGCAGCTTGGGCTAGACAGGGCAACTGCCCAGAGCTGCTGGCTCTCACACTAGGACTTGGAGGGTGTGAGGCAGGGGAGAAAGGGCATTCCCAGGAGGGGGAGCCGTGTGTGCAAAAGAAGTTGGCAGGGACAGGATCAGCAGGGACGACAGAAGGCTTCCCAGGAGCTGTGGCCCCGCAAGCACACTCTTCTTACCTCCCTGGCTGAGGGACAGGAAGGAGAACCATCTAGACCAGCCACTAGACTTTCTAACCTACCGCTCCCCTTAGCTTCCTCCTAGCTTGGTTACCCACTGGGCACACGTGTTGGCCAGCCCCGGAGGTACCCAGGACACCTACAGTTGAAGGTAAACTGAGGCACTCCGCCTAAGAGCTTTCCCCTAGTAGAAAGGAGAGCGAGGACGTGAGCCCTGCACACACGCTGCTCTCAGCCACAGACCAAAGTGGAGGCTCCAGGGTGATTTTATCTGCAGTGACAAGTCCATCCCCGTGCTCAGACAGGTATTGTTCCAGGCCCAGCAGACATCCTCAAGTCAGACACATGTCCGGAGCTCAAACAGACACTGCCCCCAGGCCAGGAAGGTGTTGCACCAGGCCCAGAGAGATGTTGTGCCAGCTTCAAACACATGTCCTGGGCCCAGACAGAAGCTGTCCCGGGGCCAGATAATGTGCTGGGCTCAGCCAGGTGTCCCAGCTTCTAACAGATGTTGTCTTGAGCCTGGGCAGATGTTTCCCTAAACTCAGACAGATGCCTGCCACCAGAGACACAGAGAGAGGCTGACAAGTCCCTGGGCAGACAGAATTCCTAAATCCTCCTTCACCACTTTCACCCTCTACCTGCTCGCCTGAGGACGAGGAGCAAGGCCAGCACTGGGCACGGCCCACTCTCCCCAGACCCTCCTCCCAAACTGAAAAAAAAAAAAAAAAAACAAGGTGCTCTATGGTTCTGTCCTTCCCTGGCTCACAGCTAAATGCCTATATGGGAGGGAGGGAGGGGTGGGAGGGAGGGAGAGACGTACAGCAGGAAGACGAACAAGGCACATACACAGGAGGACAGGCCCCTGTGCCTTCTGGGGAGTGGCAGATGCACACGCAGAGCTGCCTGAGCTGACTCTGTACGGGGAGAGGGGCTGAAGAGTGGGGATTAGAGGAAGGAACGAGTTGATGTCTGGATCAGATCCATTAAAATCCAGCTCAGACTCCGCACCCTGGGACTGGAGGGGAAGGGAAAGTTGTGTGGCCTCCAGGGGTGCCCACTCTGCCCAACACCTTGGGAGTGCCAGCGCCGCATGTGACTACCCAGAAGCTGTGCTGATTAAACCAAGAAGGCAGGGAGGCACGAGGAGGCTGGCCCAGTGTGAACCTACAATGGAGAGACAGTCCCATTCACCAGCTTGGTCCTGGCTGGAAGAGTGACTTTCTTTCCCCAAGAGCCCTCATCCAAGTCCTGGAAGGAAAAAGAACCTCTGCCCTCCCCCTCGGGGCTACGCGGCTCCTACCAGGAAGAAGAGTTGCGTGTGTTATGCGGAAGTCGGTTTTCAGGAACAGTGCAGGTGGGATGCTACCTGGCCATGATGCAGGCGGTAGCCACTATACCTGGAATGTGGGAGTCGTGGAGCCTCACCACCCCATCTGCCTCCAGGCTCAGACTGAGTCTCTTCAAGATTTAATTTCTGGGGCGGCATTGTGATGTAACAGGGAAAGGCACTGCCTGTGACGTCATCCCATACTGGTACCAGTTCGCATCCCGGGTGTTTGCCCCCTGTCAACCACATGGGAGACCAGGATGCAGTTTCTGGCTCCTGGCTTTGACCTAACCACTATGAGCATTTGGAGAGTAAACCAGTGGATGGAAAATCTCTGTGTCTCTTTCAAATAAATAAATCTTAAAAACACACGCAAGCCGGAGCCGCGGCTCAATAGGCTAATCCTCCACCTTGCGGCGCCGGCACACCGGGTTCTAGTCCCAATCGGGGCGCCGGATTCTGTCCCAGTTGCCCCTCTTCCAGGCCAGCTCTCTGCTGTGGCCCAGGAAGGCAGTGGAGGATGGCCCAAGTCTTTGGGCCCTACACCTGCATGGGAGACCAGGATAAGCACCTGGCTCCTGGCTTTGGATCAGCGCAGTGCACCAGCCACAGCGCACTGGCCGCGGCAGCCATTGGGGGGTGAACCAACAGAAAAGGAAGACCTTTCTCCCTGTCTCTCTCTCTCTCACTGTCCACTCTGCCTGTCAAAAAAAAGAGAGAGAGAGAGAAACCAGAAACCCATGTGGGTGCAGGGACCCAGGGACTTGGGCCATCTTCTACTGCTTTCCTAGGCCATAGCAGAGAGCTGGATGGGATGAGGAGCAGCCGGGATACGAACCAGCACCCATATGGGATGCCGGTACTGGAGGCGGAGGCTTAGCCCACTATGCCACAGTGCCGGCCTCAAATAAATCTTTAAAAAAAAAAAAAAAAACAAGAAGAAAGATTGCAGCTCTTCTCAACCAGGCTGCCCACTCATGAATATGTAAATAAGCCTTGGTCCACACCCCCCAGCAGGTGCAGGTTGGAACCTCCCTGCCATTCTACCTTCTTTCTCTCAAGAGCCACCCTGTGGTGAAGAAGGTGTGGTTTCTCACAGGAGGGGATATATTCACACACACAATAAAACAGTTTCCCAAAAGCAAAAAGGAATATTAAAACCACTCTCAAATGGAAACACTGATACATTACAGACACTAATGCACATGTATTAACACAAACCCAGCACCAGCACACAACTATTTATGGGCAACTACAGAATATAAACATGAGTCCATGGGAGCATGCCACATACAGGCTCGCTAACTTACAGTCACCATATATCCGGGGCCATCTACACACGACTGCAAACACCGCAACACGCACAAACCCAAAGGAACTGCCCTCCCTCCTGCCCAGGCCACCGATCACCTACCACAGCCTTCAGTGAGATCCCAAAGTCAGTCCCAGGCCTGGCAGGCACCTGGCTCTTCCAACGATGGTGACAAGGACTTCAATTATCACTCTCTGCTCCCACCCCACCCTGTGGTGGTGAATTTTGCAGCCATCCAGATAAAAAAAAAAAAAAAAAAAAGTGTGTTGAGGGGGGAAAAAAAAAGCAGGCAAGCAGGAAACTACAACCCAGCCCCAGCCTTTCAGGGTGATTAATCCCTGCTAATGATTTACCGATTCGCAGAGCGCGTGTTCTGCATAACCGGATTGCGGGCATTAACGCCAGCTCAGAGGCTGCCAGTCTGCTAAAAATGAAAGTAAATTTCAAGAGCAATTGACAACTGAACACCCCTAATCTGAATATTCCACTGATATTCTAGGAGGACCCCATTCTCACCCTGAGGACTCCAAGCTGGGGGTGTGGGGGGGGGAAGGTTCATCCAAAGAGGGATTTCCCTTCCATCCCCCCTTCCCCTCCCCAAGGCTGGGAGTTAGGGAACCTGCCACAGAAAGGGAGACTCTGTCTTTCCCCTCTGCCAGAGACAGCAACGTGCTGCCCCCGACTCCCCTCCTGTGTCCAGAGCCCTATAGGGCAGAGGAAGGACAAGAAGGCAGCTGACACCTGCAGGGGCACAGTTCAGAGGGGAAGAGAGGGAGCTACAGCACTCAAAACAGCAATCCCACGCTGTGTAGGGAGAGCTCGGGACAGTCGTGAGCAACACACGCCTGCAGACAGGTGACCTGCTACCCCTCCCCTACTGCCTCCCACGACTAGAGATCTGGGGCAGCCAGGGCCCTTCCAGACTCTTCCGTGCAGCTCCGAGTGAGCAGGGTGTGGCCGCTCCTGACACCCTTCAGCAAGAACTGGTTATGGGAGCAGGCAGGTCCCCTCCTGCTCACCCAGCCTCTTACTCACCCCGGCAGCTCAGCCAAGGAGAGAAACCAAGTCACGATTTCCCTTTCCCGGTTTCCATCTGGGCGGTGATCTCATCCCCACTTTCTCCAGCAGCCTAAGAGAGAAGCATCCTGCCCAGCTTACAGGTGAGGAGACTCAGGGTCACGGAACTGACCCAATGTCATCCAACAAGCCTGAGTCAGGGTCCACATGGAGCCCAGGACCCTTGATGCCCAAGCCAGGCCGAGGAAAATGCAAGCACTTGGGCATGAGGAGACTAGCAGAAGGGAAAGGAAGCGGGCAGTGAGAGCTACCCCCAGCACAGCCAGCCTCAGACAAAGGCTCAAAGCCCAAGCACACAGGAGGCCGCCCTGAGACAGCTCCTGCAGCCACGGGCCTGGATCCCTCCTCTCTTTACGCTTCTCAGCATCCCTGACTTGCAAGGGACCCAGATGGAGTGTCCCAGAGCCTCTCGTCCCCCAGCACGAGCAGGCCTTGGTCTGCAGCTGCATCTGCCCTCAGCACTTTCTGGACTGCTGACCAATGAACCGGCTGCCCGAAGGGAGCTCGGAGGACCCAGAGACTGAAGGGGAAAGCGGCCAGTGGCGCCTGCCCCCAGAGATGCTGAGCAGAACTGTGCATCTTTCTCCTTCCCAAGTCTGCGCTCCCTGTGCTATTGTGACAGCTCCCCTGCCTGGGCTGTGTGTCTGGGACAGTGCAGTGCACGTGTGACCCCCAGGGTGCTGACGGCACTGAGCCAGCCTGTGTGTCTGTGACCTGGGGCTCTGCACAGACAGTATACGGGGCTGGCACTTGTCTCGTTGCCTTCCTCCCTGTAGCGTCTCTCCCACCCCCAACCCTCCACCCCCACAGCCCCTCGGGCTCCAAGACCCCCCACAGTGAGGGCCCCATCTGCTGGAGGCTCAGTGACCTGTGTCAAATGAGCAGGCGCTCGGTCACACTCCAGAGCCTGGAGGAGGCCTCTGGGCTCTGGGAAAGCCGGCGCAGAGCCTGCTGGGGGCGGGTTGGCCAGGGGCCCCACTGGGGAAGGAGGCCCCAGAGCCGTGGGGACTGGCGACGGCCTGGCTGGGAGCTGTTCGTCACAGACAAGGAGAGTGGGAAAAATAAGAAGAGGGGCTCCTCTGTGCCCCCGAGACCAGTGCTGCTGCTAAACTGTGTGGACCCAACTCTGCGTGGGCCCGGCCCCTTCCGTGTCTCCGTGACATGAGTAGGGTGGGCCTCTTTGTGCACCTGGGTGGCAGTGCCGTGTGGCTGGCTCTCTGTATGCATTAGCCTGCCAGGGAGCGCCTCCGTGTCTGTGGCCCCAAGGCCCTGGAGGTACCGTGTAGCTCCGTGTCCATGAAGGGTGCCCACGTGGGCCTATGTCAGCCCACGCTGGAGGTCTGTATAAGTCCTGTTAAAACAAGGGTCCAGATTTATCACTGGGCATTGCTTTGTGTGACCACGAATATTCAGCCTGATGATGCAAGTCCATCTGGAAATCTGCATGTTTGTCCCTGCACCACACTGCTTGTTTGTACGTGGGTGGGTGAGGGAACATCTGCTGGCACACCCCCACCACCCCAGGTCCACCTGAGTCAGGTGGGCACCCAATTGCTTGTGTCCACCTGTGTCTGTGTGCTGCGGGTCTGAGGACACTTCCTCCCCCGCCCCCCGCCCCAAGCCCGGGCAAGTGAAGGCGGTGCTTCTGGCCAGAGGGGCTTCCCTGCAGCAGGGATGTGCCAGCGGCCAGGTCACAGCCCGTGGTGTCCTCTCCACCCTCCCCCCCGCCCCGCCCACAGAATCCCCAGCATCAAAGAGGAGGATGTTAAGATTTCCCGAGGAAATGTAATTCCCAAGCCCAGGAACATCTGATTCAGGACCAAATCCCTGTCATTGTAGAGGGTCTGTAATTTCCAAAGCAATGAATGGAATTTTACCTTTCCTAGTTCACACGGCAGCAATTCATGCCAAAAGGACACCTACGTTACACACCTCCCTGGAGCCTGGGGGCGATCCTGAGACGCAGGCATCACTGTCCCTATTTTGTGATGAAGAAACAGAGGCGCAATGAGTCTCGCAAAGCCAAGGGGATGCTAACAGGGAACTGAGATCTGCTGGGAGACAACCTGGTGACCTAGAGGTCTGGATACCACTTTGCTGCGGACACCCCTGAGTTCAGCACAGAGCTGAGAATACAGCTCCAGGAGTCTCAGCAGGCCCCTGCCCGGCAGCGAGCACACTAGACAGTAGGTGGGTTTTCTGCTGCGGTAGGCAAAGCCGCTGCCTCTACGGGCATCCTCCCCCCATCCCACAGCAGTGGGGAGAATGATAAGGAGTAGGAGATCACGGGACCTGCACTCCTGGGCAAGTCTCCCTTCCCTCGTCCACGCGGTGAGGATACGGATCTGAGCGCTCTCGCAGGGCGGAAAAGCAGAGGTTATAGGACAAGTGTGGAAGCTCCCTGCAAAGCCTCGTGCCTGTGGGCCACCATCCTGACACCTTTTCTCCTACAGGAACTCAGAGACTCACAGACCATCAGAGCTGGAACCGGCCCAAACCTCCATAACGCCACTCCACAAATGAGGACGCTGATCTTAAGCAGAGAGGGAGCGTATGTTGCTCACTCGCTGGCCGATAACAATAGAAACAAGCAGTGTGAAACCCTTTCTGAGGGCTTCTCATTCCCATAGTCTTCAAGCACCGTCTGACTTAGCCTGGGGAGACAAGTGGCTGCCTGTGGCCCTGTTACTCCTTATCTACAAGAAGGAAAACCAAGGGCTAGAGAGCCTGGACCGGAATCACTCTTGCCTGGGAAGAGAGCAGCAGCCCCAGGTTGGAAGCCCAAGCTTCAATGTCACACAGGCCTGGACAGGGCTGGCATGAGAGGAGACCTCTACAGGACTGTCAGCCTTGGTCCTACCTCCTGAGCCTGGGAGAGGGGCCAGGGAGACGAGTGAGCCAGAAGACCTCAAGGTGACCATTTCCTGGGCCAGAGTCCAGGGACACCCAGCATCCCCAGCTAGATTCAGCCTTGAGGCTAGGGTGGGACCTAAGGAGCCTGCTGAGGACAGCGGCCAGTGACCACTCTGTTCCTTGGTGCCGGGGCATTCAGGGCCCGGATGAACTCGGTGTGTGTCCAGTACGACCCCAGCCACCCTCGGACCATCTCCGCTGCAGCAGCCACCAAGCGCCCATCACCTTTCCAAATGTTCCACAGGCAGGTCCTAGCAAGCCCCCAGCTCAGATCTGTGCTCTGGGACCTCACAGGGCCCTGGGATCTACGAATCCATCTGAGGCAAGATCAAGGAGAGGACCACCAGCTGGAAGACCCCCTGGGAGCCAAGCCTCAGGGTGATTAAAAGACTCACTGGCTCCACCCAGCCCCGAGGTCAAACATGGGGTGAAGCTGCACAGGCCCCACTCCACGCAGAACCCTTCAAGGAGTCCTCAAAGACCTGGGGCAACGAGAAGGTGGCGACCCCCAGCCCTCTTTCCCACAAGGTCTATTCTGTCTCAGTGCCAGCCCAGGGCTCCGCATGGGGCTGGACAGCTCCGGGCCAGCATGACCGGATCTCAGAGGGGCCAGCTGCCCTTTCCGGAGTTGATCCCATTCCTCCCTGAGGACAAGCTTCCCGGGGACCTGCCACCAGCACCCCACCGAGGCCATGACCACGGCCCATGAGAGAGGAGGAGCGAGAAGGCTGCAGGGGCCCTGGACCCGGCATCAAGGCGTTTTCCCTGTCACTCTAGAACCCCGGAAGGCGGCCGGGCTGCAAACGCTGGGGTCTCCCAGTGGCACCGCTGCCGCCTCGCCGCCCCGGCCCCGGAGCCTCCCGCGCGCAACTCACCTGGGCCGCGGTGCCCGGAGAAGGAGTGGCCGCGCGAGGCGTGGACACGAGGATGCCCATCTCCGCGCGCGCCCCGCGCGCTCTCAAGGCCACAGAGGTCGGCTCAGCTGTGACGCTGGGTCTGGGGGGAGAAGAGGGAAAACCGAGACGCGCGGAGCGGGCACGCGGGGGAGCGCTCTGCGCACGCTGGAGGCGGCGGCCGGGGAGGCGAGGCGGGCGAGGTGAGCAGACGCGCCGGGAACCCGCGCCGCCTCGCGCCCGCAGCCGCCAAGCCCGCAGGAATCCTGGCCCCGCCGGCCGCGGCACTGCGGAAGGAGGAGCGCGGGACTGAGTCGCTTCTCGGAACCCGAGCGCCTCCCGGAGCCCGCGATCCCCTCCGCCGCCTCCGGCCGCCCCGCTGGGACGCGTGCAGGAATTCAGCTCGCGTGGAACGTGGGACCGGCCGGGCCCGGAGTCTCCCGCGCTCGGGGAAAAGCGGGGCCCACGCAGCCAGGGCTAGAGGGGGCGCGGTCCCAGGGCCTCCCCCGCGCCACTCCCCACGTGGCGGCCGCGCCCCCGGGGCGTGGATGTGTACGCGGATGGGAAGGGGGGGGACCGTGAATGAAGCCTCAACGGCCAATCAACGCTGTCGGCGCGCGGGACCCCGCGAGCGAGGCCCAATGGCGAGCTCTGGGCGGCCCGGTCGGGCGGCGGGCGGGCGCGGGGGGCGGGGGCCGAAGCCGGGGGGCGGGAGGCGGCTCCGCGGGCAGCCAATGGGCGGCGGGCGGGGTGGGGCTCCGGAGCGCCGAGCGGGTCGGGGCTTTAAGCCGGCGGAGCGCGGCGGCGGGGCCCGCAGACGGAGCGGAGCGGCGGCGGCAGCGGCGGCGGCGGCGCGGCGCGGCGCGGCGCAGGGCAGGGCAGGGCGCGGGGCGGCATGGCCACCACCGCGCAGTACCTGCCGCGGGGCCCCGGCGGCGGAGCCGGGGGCACCGGGCCGCTCATGCATCCGGACGCCGCGGCGGCAGCGGCGGCGGCGGCGGCCGCCGAGCGGCTGCACGCGGGGGCCGCGTACCGCGAAGTGCAGAAGCTGATGCACCACGAGTGGCTGGGCGCGGGCGCGGGCCACCCCGTGGGCCTAGCGCACCCCCAGTGGCTGCCCGCGGGAGGAGGCGGCGGCGGCGACTGGGCCGGCGGCCCGCACCTGGAACACGGCAAGGCGGGCGGCGGCGGCACCGGCAGAGCAGACGACGGCGGCGGCAGCGGCGGCGGCGGCGGAGGAGGAGGTTTCCACGCGCGCCTGGTGCACCAGGGGGCGGCCCACGCGGGCGCGGCATGGGCGCAGGGCGGCACGGCGCACCACTTGGGTCCGGCCATGTCGCCTTCGCCCGGGGCCGGCGGGGGCCACCAGCCCCAGCCTCTCGGGCTGTACGCGCAGGCGGCCTACCCAGGGGGCGGCGGCGGCGGCCTGGCCGGGATGCTGGCGGCGGGCGGCGGCGGCGCGGGGCCGGGCCTGCACCACGCGCTGCACGAGGACGGCCACGAGGCGCAGCTGGAGCCGTCGCCGCCGCCGCACCTGGGCGCCCACGGACACGCACACGGACACGCACACGCGGGCAGCCTGCACGCGGCGGCCGCGGCAGCGGCGGCGGCGCACCTGCACCCGGGCGCGGGCGGCGGCGGCTCGTCGGTGGGCGAGCACTCGGACGAGGATGCGCCCAGCTCGGACGACCTGGAGCAGTTCGCCAAGCAGTTCAAGCAGCGGCGCATCAAGCTGGGCTTCACGCAGGCTGACGTGGGGCTGGCGCTGGGTACGCTGTACGGCAACGTGTTCTCGCAGACCACCATCTGCCGCTTCGAGGCCCTGCAGCTGAGCTTCAAGAACATGTGCAAGCTCAAGCCGCTGCTCAACAAGTGGCTGGAGGAGACCGACTCGTCCAGCGGCAGCCCCACCAACCTGGACAAGATCGCGGCGCAGGGCCGCAAGCGCAAGAAGCGCACGTCCATCGAGGTCGGGGTCAAGGGCGCGCTGGAGAGCCACTTCCTCAAGTGCCCCAAGCCCTCGGCGCACGAGATCACGGGCCTGGCCGACAGCCTGCAGTTGGAGAAGGAGGTGGTGCGCGTCTGGTTCTGCAACCGGCGGCAGAAGGAGAAGCGCATGACCCCCGCGGCCGGCGCGGGCCACCCGCCCATGGACGACGTGTACGCGCCTGGCGAGCTGGGGCCGGGTGGGGGCGGCGCGTCGCCGCCCTCCGCGCCCCCGCCGCCCCCGCCGGCCGCGCTGCACCACCACCACCACCACACACTGCCCGGCTCTGTGCAGTGACCCCGCGGGCTGGGCCCCCCGCCGGCGCGCGGCCCGCCCGCGCTGCCTGGACTCTTGGGGTTTTTTTTGTTGTTGTTGTTATTCGGTTGCTTTGGATTTTACAAAAAAGAAAAAAGAAAAAAAAAAAGCCCAGAAACTTTCGAACAAAACCAAACACCCAGACGACCCTCCCCCGGCGAGCGGCGAAGACGGCCAACGGGTTGCGTCGCCCGAGCCCCGCGAGAGAGGAGCGAAGATGCGGAAAGCGCTCGCGCACCCCGGGCCCCCTGCCCGCCGCCGGCTTCCCGCCCACCCCCGCCCCTGTCCCCTTCGACGACCCCTGCCCCTGCCTCCCCCACCCCCGGGCTGTTCGGGGCCGGATCCCGGCAGCGGCCTCCCCACAGCGACAGGTAACGCGGTGCGGGGCTAGGGGTTCCCCGGGAAAGAGGACGGGGAGAAGGGAGCTCGCACCCCCTCTTCCCGGCGCGACTCCGTAGCCTGCGGGGCGAGGGTGGGGGCCGTCGCTCTCTGCGCCCCTCCGGGATGCGCCCCGCCCCCTCCCTTTCTCCGGGCTTGGGTTCTTCTTCTTCTTCTTTTTTTTTTTTAATGGTTTTTATTTATTCGTGGAGCTTCTCGGCTCCAGGGGTCCTAACTCTGCCCGCGCCCTTAATTTAAATCGCTGTATACTGTATTTATCGGGGCCCCGGAGGGGAGGCCGCGAGAGCCGCGTCTGTGTATAAAAGCAGGAAATAGCCAAAGCTTTAATCTAGCCTAATTTATTCTACCCCTTGTCTTCCCCTCCTTAAGAGAAAAAAAAAAAGAAAGAAAAGAAAAAAAAAAGCAAATCACACACACACACTACAAAAAAAAAAAAAAAAAAAACTAACAAAAAAATTCGAGCGTTTGTTTTTCGTTTCGTTGTATCCGAGTCCCGGCTCGGTTCGTGGCCACGCCGGAGGGGTCTGCGCCCCCACGCGCGCCCAAGGCGAAGGGGCTCCTGCCCGGCTCAGCCCGAACGCCGCGTGCCGGGGCCCCTGCTCCCCGCGGGGCCCGGCCCTCCAGGCCGAGACAAACGAAACTTGGAAAAGTTGGAAGTGTTTTTTTAACCAGCTGTAGGAATAAGCCGTTCCCCGAGAACCTTCTGCCTGCCTCCCCGCGGCTTCACCGACCGCCCGGCGCGCGCCGGGGCCGGGGAAACCGGGAGGCAGCCGCGGGGAGAACCGTGTAAATATGTGAGATATGTACACACTGGCGGGGAGAAGAAACATTTTGTGCTTGGCTTTTATTTTTGGTTTTCCGGGTTGCCCTCCGTTCCCGTCCTAAAGGATTTTGTACGCCGACTCATCTGCGAAAGGTATTTTAACCTAAGTTCCGAGTTTCTGACCCATTTCTATTTATTTTCTGGATGTATTTGGAGCTTCCCCCTTCTCCGTTTCTTCTGTTTGTTACAGTTTGAATTTAAATTTTGTTATTTTTTTCTTTCGGAACAATGTTTTGCCGCATCCTCTTTGTATCTTTATTGCAAAAAAAAATAATAATGTAGACTGGGAAGTTCCCTTTATATTTATGTTATAGTAAATATTTTATTACTCACATAAACATGTACCCCAGGGCTGTGTCCTGTCCTCTTTACAGGGCTGGGTGGGCTTGGGGTGAGGGGATGGGGTACCCTGCCTCAGCTCCCCAGAAGTTCCGGCCCCACAAACCTTGGGGGAAGGCGGCCCTGCGGCCCCTCCAGGCCAGCCAGGGTCAGGGCTGGCTGTTCGCTTAGCCGCAGCTGGGCCCCTGCCTCAGGTGGGACCAGCTAGGGAGAATGGAGCTGCTGCTTGTCCCCGGACCATGCCAGGGCCGGGTCACCCCGGAGACCCTGAGTCAGCCATTCCTCAGGCACAACTCCACTGCTCTTCTGGTCCCTGCAAGAAGCAGCCTCATCTTTGGTTTCGCTTTGCACCACTTGTGTTGGGGGCCTTGCCAGCATCATCATTCCAGGTCCCAAAGCAGCTGGGAGTCTGGCCTATCCCAACTCGCTCTCCACCCATTGACCAATGGCCCCCCAAACCACTTGGATCCACCGGGCACTCCCCTAGCAGGAGATCCATGCAGGGGTCGGTGGAAGCCCAGCAGGCCCGGGGCAGGAGGACTGCCTCTTTGCTCCATCTGCCCTAGCTTCTCCTGGGGAAAATGGAGGCGCAAACCCCTGTGCCACCAGAAAAACCTGACACGTCCTCAGCAGCGGTAGGTGCCCAGGAACTTCCCCCTCCGCCGCGGGGAGTGATGGGAGTGCACCGGGCAGGAGGACTCTGCAGCAGTGTGGGTGAGCTGGGGAGGGAGCACACAGGTCGCTGGGTGCCCTCCGAAGCCTTGGGCAGCTGCCTCCCCTCCAAGAGTCAGGACAGCTGGGGACAGGTCCAGAGGTACCTGTGGCCCGGTCAAGATCTGGCTTTCCCTTTTCAAATGCCCCCTTTCAAGGTGCGTGCAATGGGCCGGCGTCGCAGCATAGCGGTTTCAAGTGCTAATCAAACGGCTCCTCCTGTCTCCTCCGCAGATGCGGTTCTTTCCCCTTCTCTGGAGGAAGCACGCAGTTTCTCCTACCTCTCCTGGAGCCTCGGCTCAAAGGGGACAATTGCTTGGCTGGGGGGAAAGCTGGGTCCCCAATAAAGGGGTTGGTGAGGCCCCTCCTGCCCAGTCTGGGCCTGCCCCCCAGCTGATGTGGAGAAAGGTGGTCCCTAGCTGGGCTGGGGGGCTCAGAATAACTGTGGCCTATGAGAGATGCAGGTGACTCTGGGCTGTGGCGCTCCATCCTGGGGAAACCGTCTCTGCAAGAAACAGAGGCTGCCCCGGTCCTCCCAAGCTCAGCCTCTCCTTCCTGGCTCCCAGGAGCAATGACTCTGTAGTTGGTATCCGGGTCCCCTCCGCACTGGCCAGCCTCTGTGCTCTTCCAGAGGAGGCCGGGAACTCCCAGCCTGGCAAGGTGAAGGTACTGCTGGGCGCCTCCTGCAGAGGTAGGAAGCTTCTCTGCCGCCCCACGTTCCTCCCTGCTCCCTCCTTATTTCTCCCTTCCTGGATTTATCCCAGCCTCCAGGCCCTGAAATGGAAGCAATGCAGCTTCAGGCTTCCTGCTGCCTGCACGGCCCAGGGCCTCAGCAGGTTGGGAGGTTGGAAAGGACCAAGGGGAAGACGGGGGCCTTTCACGGGCCTCTGCCAGCAGCTGACACCAATTGATTGATTGATTTCCTAATTGTCTGCTTAATCCTGTATAAGAGGGTGGGTTTATTATTTAAGCAAGTCAACTCAAAAACAGCAAAACAATGTGGGCTCCCAAGAACTAGCAGCAGCTGAGGAACAAAACAAAAAAGGTGAGAAAAAAAAAAGTGGAAACGGGGATAGAAGAAAATTTTTCACTTTGCAAGGATTTTGTTTAATGAGATGCCAGGCTGGGACAGTTATCCGTTGATCGACCTCCTGCTGGCAGAAGCACCCCCCCCCCAGGATTCTTCCCCCAAACTCTAGCCTGGGGCGACCGTAGGACACACTGGACTCAGCACAGTGAACTTTATTAGGAGAAAACTGGTGAAGAAAGGGATTTTTCCCCCTGGAGCCTTTCTCTGGCTAGAAGGGAGTTCAGGGAGGGCAGAGCCCGCTGCCGTGGACTTGACCGTCATCTCTCCATCCCTTGTGCCTGCTCCAGAGTGTCCCACCTCCTTTCGCTCAAGGGAGGCGCCTGTCCCTAGCGTGCACTTTTCAGGAAGTCTAAGCCATCCCTGGTAAAACTGGGAATTTTCTGACCCTCTCCCCCACCCCTCCCCTTTGCACTTGAACAAAATTATTTTCATGTGGCCACAGGTGAATCCCCATAGGCGGGTGTAAGAATGTGTGTGTGCCCCCTGTGCATGCATAGCTGATCCCAAAGGTAGGAGGGGAGAAAGAAAATCCGTGGTACGTGACCGGTGCTTTGAGCTGGAAGAACATTTGCAGGTGAGGATTGGCCAACAACAGAAAGAAGGAAGGTGTGTGTGACGGTCACCTGTGGTCATCAAGGTAAACTCAGAGGGTACCCTGTCCTGAGCCCCAGGGACAGCTGTCTTCTCCCCCACCTCCTGCCCCAGGAAGTTGTACCTGCTTTTATGCTGTATGGTTTATCTCCTACACAATTGTCTCCTGGCCATAGGACTTGAAAGAGTAGCCATAGGACTAGCTGATCCCTAAACACAGCTGCCCACCTAGAGCTGTTTGGAATTCCACCTGCCCTTGGAGAGGCTCTGGGCTTGCCTGTGGGAGAGCCAAGCCCCCAGTGACAGTAGGATGTCCCCTGGCAGGCCTTGATGGTAGAGCCCAACAAGGTTGGGGATCCAGCCCAGCTGCCCCGCTAAGCTTAGCTAAGAAGATCTACATGAGCTGTCAATTTTGTCCCCTTTTGTCACATTAGATGCCCTGGAGTTAGTATTCGACCCAGCCACTCAGAGCTCCTCGTGCTGCCTCTGAGGCCTCTGTGTGGGAGGACTGCCCTCTATTGGCCCCTGAGCCAGGACACCCGGACACAACAGCAGAACCACCTCTACCTTGAACGGACCTCCCAAAAGTCAGCTTCAGGGTGACGACCCGATGAGGGAGTGCCAACTAGAGCAGGGATAACTGTGCAAAGAAAGCACTTGTGCTACACACACACACACACACACACACACACACACTTCCTGAGAGCCCTCCTCTCCACTGACCACCCTACCCAAACACGCTCAGAAACTCACCACCATATACTACCTCCTCTGTCTCTGTCCCACTCATTCCGACTCGGTTACTCTGCTCAGCCAGTTAAAACTCCAACCCAGGAGCGTGCATTTGGCATGGTGGTTAATATGCCACTTGGGATGCCAGCATCCCCTCTCAGAGTGCCTGGTTTTGGGTCCGAGCTCTGCTCCCAATTCCCAATTCTAGCTTCCTGCTAATGCACCCCTAGGAGGCAGCACACAAGGGACCTGCTTTGAGTGGCATTTGCACAGGGGACCCGGATTGAGTTCTGGGATCCTGGCTTCAGCCTGGACCGCCCCGGCTGTTGTGGACATTTGGGGAGTGAATAAGTGGCTGGGAGCTTGTTCTCTGTCTCCTCTCTCATTCCCTCTGCCTTTCAAATAAGTAATTTTTTAGAAAAATAACCCAGGCTCTCATCAGCTTGTTCACGCACACACATGCTAACACACCCATGGCCACACCCACACCACTGTCTCAGCTATCCAAGAATAGCTTTGGGTCTTTGGCACTGTGCTCCTGGGAGCTGCCGGCACCTGACATGTAACATCTGATTGAGTGCCCCCAACCCTCCACTGTGGCATTTGACGGGGTCTCCATTTTAGGATTTGCAAGCACCTGCCCCTCAGCCGCTTTCCTGACACATGCCTGCCTCTCGTTGTCCCAGCTCCTCCCAGATCTCTCCCTGCTCCTCTCAGATAATTACAGTGAAGCTGTGTGTTTGTATGTATGTGTGCTCTTATTTTTTAAACACACACCCCCACACGTACATATGCGTGTGTATATACAAACACACACAGCAATTAGATCTATCTGTGCCTGCCATCGTCCTCGTATGCTAAAACCTCAGCCATGGCCATGCCCCCACGTTGCCATACTATGAAGCTGGGGTCACCTGCTCATGGGCTCCTGATGTCACACACGTGTGTGTGTGTGTGTGTGTGTGTGCCTGTACACTCTCACCGCTTACACCCAAGCTAGCTCCCTGGTATTTCTTCAAGGGCATGACCTCTCACCCCACCTTCTGCCCCCTCCAGGGCATCAGGCTCTTCTCCCAATGACCTAAGTACCAGGAAGGTTTTGCTCCACCCCCTGCACTACCACCCCCATGGGGACACACACCAGTGGCCATGTCTCCCCCCAAGCCTGGCCAGGGTGGCCTGGGTATTATTAGGCTGCAGAGACAGCACGGAGGCATATGGTCTCGTACACAAGAAATAATGTTCATGTTAAATCAGACCTCATGCATAATGCATGGTGCCTGATCTCACATTATTTTGGGTGTTCGTCAAAATCAGTGTTCTTTCTTGTGAGGGCTCCTGAAAAGAAGGGAAAAAGGCATTCGCTGACTGCACCCCCAGCCTGGACCTGGGGAGCCCAGAATGGCCCAGGGGCATCCCTTGGCCTCACCTCGCCCACCCGTGGGTCCTGTCCTCTGTCTCACTCTGTCTTGCCACACGGAAGGAGGGGTTGCCTCGGGTTTGTAGCAGGCGTAAGGGCCCGTGTTATTTTTATTTCTTTTCTCTCGCCTCCCTGTCCCCGGAGGGTTCCGGGGAATAGCAGTGGCTCCGTCGCTCTCACACCCGATTCATTTGCCGTTTTATGAACTCCCCGTTGATTCATCGCCTCCCTAAGTCAATGATTCACTCCTGATGGCTTTTCAGAAATCCTTCTTCAAAGGCTCCAGATTATTCAGCTCTGAACAAGAGCAAGAGCCAGAGCCGACCTGGACCCTGCGCTGCGGCTGCTCCCGAGGCCCGGCCACCCGTGTTCTCAACTATCCGTGGGCTTTTCCCCAGGACGGGGCCAGCCTGGGGATGAGAGTGCGCTCCCTCCACACAGCAGCTGGTGGAGCTGACCCCAGCAGC